CACTGACCACAGCACAAGTATTGAAGAGGTTTGCTTCACACATGACTGACAAAAATTTACTTGTATTATTTATACTTGATTTATATTTTAATGGTATCATAAACTGTATACATGTTCTTTATTCTGTCCATACAGGCATGTCCACTTGACTGTCTGTATGCTTGCCCATTTGTTGTGTAAGAGGATATGGTCTCTGCGTTTAGTTTGAGCATGATCTGAGTGATGTTTCTTTATGTAATTTTGACAAATAAAAGCTTCTCTGATACATTTAAAAATTGTGCTATGATAATTGAACTTTGAAGGCATCAATTAGCCATAGTTTATCTTCTGCATCATTTATGATTTTTATTATTAACTGTATAGAATCCACCTGAAAATTAGTGGGGTGTTTTTAAGAGAGACTAACCTTCCTTTATTTTAGTAGCATTTGGTAAATAATGAGGCATAATAAGCTTGCAAATCCATCCCTAGTTATACCGAATATGGCTGACTTAACTGGAAGTTAAATGGGCCAGTTATCTAGAGAGTTATTTACTTGTTACACCACTGGCTTCAAACATTAGCTGCTTTTCTTTTGGATTTGCAGAAATCTAAAGTGATTATCAAGTTTATGCATATCAAACAAGAAATATTCAAAATTGATAAAGGAATTGTCACCTATTCTTGATTGTCTGTCACTGTGTATGGCAGGAAGTTCTTAGAATAAAGGCTGAGCATCCTGATGATTACCAAGCCATTTTAAATGATAGGGTGAAGGGGCAATTGAAAGTCACCAGAGCATTTGGCGCTGGTTTCTTAAAGAAGGTTGGTTCATCTGTCATCTTTAACATCTATTTTTTTATTATTATTATTATTATTATTATTTTCATTTTTTTCCTTTTTGGTACTTTGACATGTGGAAGCATTCTCAGATGGGCAACTTTAGTTGATATTTGTAATTTTTGAAAAATTAATTTCAGGAAACTATACATGCTTCCATGTTTCTGCATAAATGCCAACTTTAGATGCAATTGAGGATGAAAAATGTAACCTAGTGCTGGAATTAAGTATATCTATATTTGTTTGGCTGGAAGTATCAATACTTTGGAAGGCTAAATACCACGCAGAAAAAAAAAAAAAAAAAAAGAAGCAAATTTAAGAATTGCCATGATGTCCTAATTTTTAAATGTTCTTGACATTTACTGCTTCTCCATCTAGTATCTCTGTGAAGAAATTTTATTCTTCCCAAATTGTCTTTGGAAGTCTTTAATAACTAATATGTCATTTACTCTTATTTATCATTTGAGAATGGATTTTTAGTAGAAGAGATGAAAAACAATAAATAGGGTTATGACAGAACAGATGGTTTTCTAGACTAGGGATAAACAGGGAAAGATATGAATACTGAGTTTGCTATCATATTAGATAACAGCGGTAAGAGTAAGACCACAAGCATGGTGAAAAACCTGTCATCCAACTCTTAATGCTATTTTGTGGATATAGAATTGATAAATGTCTTGTCAATTTCTCCCGGTGCAGCCAAGTTGTAATGAAGCTCTGCTAGAGGCGTTTCGTATCAATTATGTGGGCAGTGCTCCTTATGTTAGCTGCATCCCTTCTGTTCATCACCACCGGCTCTCCTCAAGTGACCGATTCTTGGTACTATCATCTGATGGGCTTTACCAGTACTTCAGCAATGAAGAGGTTGTTGCCCATGTTACATGGTTCATGGAAAATGTTCCTGAAGGTGATCCTGCACAGTACCTCATTGCAGAGCTTCTGTTCCGCGCTGCCAAAAAGAATGGTAACTTGACTTCATATATTCTCTTAAAACTCACCTTAGTCTTCTGCCCATTTTCTTAACTATGACTACTGTAAATTGATGCCGTTTGCTTCTGATCCTGCTCAAGTTAAAAACTATATTTTGTGCACAATTGAATTTTGGCATTATGTTGATTTTTGCAGGAATGGATTTTCATGAACTCCTTGATATTCCTCATGGAGATCGACGTAAATATCATGATGATGTTTCTGTTATGGTGGTTTCATTGGAGGGAAGGATTTGGCGATCTTCCGGATAAATTTCCTTCTTTTTTGATTTTTTTTTTTTTCAAATATTTGCATCCTGCTTCAACAATGTAACCATTTTCAAGCAAGGGGCAAAATCCATTTATGCAATTTCAGTCAATTCTTGCTCTCTGAAGACTGCTACTTCATTTGCTTAGTTTTAGTCCGAAATTCCTGTTCAAAATCCATCAAAAACTGGTCTTTTGAAATTATTTTTTTGACATAAAATTGGTGATCCAAGCACACAAACTAATGGAGTAGGGAGAGAGATGCAATTGTAGATGTGTAATCTGTGTCACAATAGGATTATAAACGTGTAGAGCCCAGTTATGCAATTCCGTACTATGGAGTGATCTGATATCAAGCTTTAAAAAGTCGCCATCATGCTTTATTGAGCTTCAAAGTGCTTAATCATAATGATTTTTTTAGCTTGTATTATGTTTTAATCGAAAGAAATAAAGGGGAGAAGGAAGTTTCTTAATTAATTAAATTAAAACATTTTAAAGATAATATAGTTAAATTGGTAAAAAAAAATTCTCTCTCCTCTTTATTCCTCTCACTCAAAATTTATAGTAAAAATACAGATAAAAAGTGTAATTATTATCTTTTTTTTATATTAACTAATATTAAAAAAAAGTAAAAAAATTAACCTTTATTTAACTAATTATGTAATTAAAATGATTGGTGGTTAAATTAATGTTAGTTTTTTTTATATATTTTTAATATTAATTAATATATCAAAGTAAAATAATTGCATACTTAATAAATACTTTAAGAGTATATAATAAAAGAACACTTAACGTAATATGATTTATATATACGTTTATTTTAATATTATTCAACTCAAACTCAAATTAAAGTTAAAATAAAATAACTGATAAGTTACACAAATAATTATTAAGTGTAACCAAACTCATTTATAATGTTGTCACAAGATGGATAGCAATTTACTCTTGGTGATAAATACAGATTATCTAAGCTAAAACACAGGTCATTTCATTTCAACCACCGGTAAAACCAACTCCCATTGAATGTCTCCAACAACAACCCCGAACTCAAATGTCTCAATCTGGCAACCACATTGTAATTATAAGAACATATTCTTGCACCTTTAAACACGACAAAAGCAAAGGCAAGAAGATTAGCAGCCTTGTCCCATTCCAAGACCCCATCCCGCAACACATGGAACCTTTTCCCCCTTGGTAGATGATGCATCCCTTTTCCAAAGTAGGTCCTCTTTCTCTTTTTTTTCTTTTTTTTTTTTTTTACTGTCTCCAACCACCAAGCCCTAATTGGATGGTCCATTCAAATAATTTGTCTTCTAATTACAGCATCAATGTGCTAGTACATGGGGTCAACTTTTCCAGTCTTCGCTTAATTAATTGCTTTGTTTTCAATACAAGTACCCCATTTCCACGCTTTAAAATCACACCTCATTCCTTTTCCATACATAGTTAACTATTAATTCCCCCTCCTTATATACTAGCCATACACTTCCATTTTCCTCCACCAAACCAACTAGAGTCCCTCCTTTGAGTTTCCTCCATCACCAATCAACCATGGCTCTCAAAGTTTTCACTTATCTGTTTATCTTCATTGCAATCTCCAGCTTAGTTGCTTCCGACCCCGATTCACTTCAAGATCTCTGCGTTGCAGACAAATCTTCAGGCATGAAAATGTTAAAAG